ATAATCGAGATGATCAAAATGATTATGTGAAATAAGTATAGCATCGAGATCATCGGGTAAATCATTTATTATTAATGCCGGTGGACGGAAACGTTTCGGTCCGATAAATGATGCGATACCACATCGTTCACTAAAATCATTCAATTTTTTCAAAAGAACAGAAGAGAGAGAGAGAGAATAAGTATCTACCTGAAAACTGGATCGACAAGAAATCGAAAACTGTTCATTTGAACAAAACATGAAGCATGTCCAATCCAGATAAATCGTAGACCGAGTTTTGTTAGATATAGTTCTTCGGATTTCTTATGTCGAATAACAGGTAACATTTTATCAAGTTCTTTTTTATTAGACGGCAATCGTGTATTGCCCTGTGAAGTGATCTTCCAGATAAAAACAAGGCCCAGATGAGGCAATTTATATTGGGAATTGAATGAATTAATGAAACGACCATTTTCTATTCGAGACTTGACTAATTCATTGGAAGCTGTATCCGTTGTTGCTGCTACAGCCGTAAGAATTATTTGTCGAAATCTGATTTGCCCTACGTAGAGTGATAATAATGCGAACACATAAAACAAAATTCTTCAATTCTATTTGTGAAGAATTCTGCGTATCCTCAACATTACCTGTTGTTAAAATCAATATAAGGTATAAGACAGTATACATTTTCTGAAATTGTTCGGCGACTCGAACTAGAGACTAATGCTTTTTGAGTATCGATTGCGATCGCTACTGTTGTAGAGAAGAAGGGAAAGTTGTAATTTATACAGTGAAAATATTACAAATGACATTTTCTAACACTTTTATGGTGTTAAATAGCTTATCCTACCTACGTATGCACAAAACATCTTTCAATGCATCTCAATCATCATTTAGATAAGAATGAAATTTGATCACAACACCACTTATTTTTGTTTCGCTTTCTTTTCAATTAAAATATCACGAACAGTGTGCAGCGAATGAGATAATCTTTCTTGACTCATCCATTTTTTAAACATCGGATGCCAGTGAAAAAAAAATCGATGAGATACAAAGGCAAAAATTACAGTTTTTAAGTAATTGATTAAAAAATACGGTATGGTAGAGTATGAGAAATTTCTTTTTACAGCTCAATTACTGTGCATGGCAAAACAATCAAACTCACGTATACATTAAAAAGCCAAGGATGCGTGTGACGAGTAATCGAAATGTGAATTACATATATATGTCATAGGCAAAATTAAACTTAGGCAGAATTAGCTTTTTCATTAGACGTGAAATGACGAAATGATTCTGATATTTAAAAATCAAGTATAATACATCACTGGAATTGAAAAACCAGCACGCAATTTTTCATTGAATAGGCAGAGGATTCCTTTTCACCTACTCAGACTGTGATTTATGTGACGACCACTTCTTGTGCGTCGACATCATAAAACGTTATTCGAAAGTATTTTCATGAACAAGCAAGTCCATAAATTCATTTTCATGAATATGGTGATTTCCCGAGATTTATACCACTTTTGTTGAACAGATCTCAAATTAGTGTTCTGATTTGCTAGCTCATCCGACGACAGTGTGAAAAGTAACTGTGACCTAAAAAAATGTATGTTGATTTAATAGGTTTCGAAAAATGATAAAAATAATAAGGTACTTGTATAGGTAATTTCCTATGAAAAACTGTATTTTTTGGCAAAAAATCAACATGTAGAACAAACATGAGTCACTCATAGGATGTGAGAACAATAGACTTTAATAAAATTCAAATAAAACGAATACATTAATCTTAACCTTTGAAATCCTTTTCTTCTCCTGTTTTGGTCAGATGAGTGTTCTTTATTGATGTAATTAAGATAGGTATGTTTTGGTCAATTAATTGAAATTGTGAAATATACACCATAGAAAAAACACAATCTCAACCACACCCACACCCATAGGAATCTACATTACTTTTATGTAATGTAATCATTTTAAGAATAAAAAGCTCATTGCAATCCAATAGTAGTTATTTTTCTCAGTATCTAACATTACGGTTGATTCGCAGTTCTTCAAAAAGTTGAAGAGTTTCGAAATCAAGCATAATTACTTATTGAACGTCGAGAAAAACATATTTTTAATTTTTTCTTACTTTTTTGTTATATATATGATAATCACTCACATTGTCCGCTGAATTTTCCTCCCGCAGTATTCGTCTTAGACAATTCGTCTCAATTACATTTCTCTCGATAATTCTACTAAGATCAGTCTCCATAGTTTTAGTTAGAATGAGTCGTATGTATCCTTTTTTATAGTTTTTTCAATGCTAATCTCAAAAATACAGATTTATAGCCATGTATGTTGTAATTTATTGTTATGATTATAGGGATAAATGTTGAATTTCCTTAACTTTATTGTTAACAATAATTCAAATACAGGAAAAAAACACTTGTGTAAGTTTGAATAACGAACCATATGCAGATTAAGTGATCTATTTAACATTTTGGTATAAATAGGCCAACATATTTTCAGATATCATCGTTTACCGCAATATAAGTACTTTTTTAATTTACAACTAGTTCTCACATGAAATTTCTACGTGTTGTCTGAATATCTGATATGATCTTTTTTACTTCATTATCCTCTCTATCATACTTCGACGTCAAGATATGTTAAAGATAAACGACACTCCACAGCTAAAGACGCATAGAGCTTCCCTAAAGCCCCTAAACAGGAACAAAATAGAATATTTCCGTCATATACAAACCCAACAAGTTGTTTTGAATGATAATACAAAGTTCATCAATATTGCTCAAAACTATTATTGTCGACTTCAATATACAAAATTCATTGTTTTAGTATTTTAATTTGCGAAATAAGACAAATAGGACCTTTTCATGGTCCACGTAGTCACTAGAATTAATACTATTGACTTCTTTGTTTAGAAACATATTGAAAAAAGCTTGTAGAGCAATAGCGAATAGTTTTAATGATCAAAAATCACAATAATAAGAAATCTTGAAATAATTTCCGGAAAAATATCGTGTTATTTTTGGAACTAAAAATACCTTAAACTGAAGACAAGAATGACAGTTTTGAGCGATGTTGACAAACTTTATATTTATGATTAAAAACATAAATTTCTCATATATCCTCAACATACGAATCACTTCATTAGATTTATGTACAATTGAGATATTCCGTTTTGTTTCTGTTCAGTAACTTTCTCGATATTCTATATAATACAACATCTCTGATGCAACGTTGTTGATCATATTATGACTTAAACAATAGCATAGTGAAGAGAATATTGGCATATCAATTGAGTGATAATCTTATATTTCCTATTTTATTACTTCGCCAACGATGATGCCAAATAATCGTACATGTCTAACGCATTGTCAGACTAATGAATGTAAATATCATCTTTGCTTTGAGCATCTTCATTTCATAATAATTGGCGAAAATATACATATTTTCGTTTCTTAGTATCTTATTTTAATCATTCTGTGCATTTCTCTTGGTGTCATAGTTTGATATAACAATATGCTACGTGTAAATGGTAATGCATTGATAAAGAAAGATACAAAAATTTAAAAGGTGTCCGAAATGTAGATATTCGTCATTTCTCTATAAAGTGGTAGAGCTAACAAAGTGATGTTGCAATATTTATTATGACTATTCGTGTAAGTATCAAAGAATGGATGAGACTCGTCATTCTAAACTCGAACAAATTCTATAAACACATTTTTCTGATTAATTGTAAAATATTCTTTTTGTTACTTGTAGGATAATTGTTGCAAATGATGGTAAGTGCATGAAAACATTTTAAAAATATGAATTTATGTATCTTTTATTTTTCTGTTTTGTTTTTAGGTCAAGTATATTATAAAGATTCAAGCGAATGTAAGTACATATTTAGTTAATATATCATTCTGTCATGAGGTTTTTTAAAATTTTCTGATAGTATCTCGTAATATTATAGATGTTGAAGTGCTAGAACAAGCTCAAGATCAGAATTTGAATAAGAAAATATTACTTTATATTGTAATTGAAATGGGCAAAAATAATATCCAGAAAGTCGATAATACAGATTGTAGTGAACGAGGAAAAACTTTTAATCGATCATTATTCGTGTTCTCCTTTTTTTTTATTGAATTTAAATACTTCGATAATCTTTTAACAATTAGTTAGTACAACTATATAGAGTAGATTTCAATGCTGAATAATTTTTTCTACATTGTTTTACATGACACAATATTATTGTAAATCGAGTTCGTAAGATTGAGTATATATACTGCAATCGAAAAAAAATTTTCGCTCACACAGTATACAAAATATTAGAAATTATAAAGACTTTACAACCTTTGAGTTGGGTGTGGGGTGTAGGTGTGGGTGTGGGTGGGTGGGTGTGGGGTGTGGGTGTTGGTCATCGAAGAAGGTAAATACTCAACCACACCCACACACCCACACCATACAGATTCGAGTCTATGAGTGAGAAGAATATGTACTTATTTAGCGACTATCGAGATGTTACGACTAGAGAACTGCAAAGTGACTTTTTTTTAGTTCCAATCCCGCTGATTTCTAGTTACGACAGCCTAATTTCGAACATGTTTATATTCATGAACGAAAATGAGTTTTTCGAGAAGGGTATGGATATGGGCTGTAACATTTACTCCAGGAACAACCGCACACGATCACAGCCATATCTCACATCCGCGTTCACACCTTATTCACGTCTTTGCATCTCGCTTTCAAAGAAAAGAAAGGAAAAAAAGTCGGAAATTTCCAAAAGCAAACCTATAAGTGCTTATGTGTAAACGTAAGTCATGTAGTTTTCTATTATGTCTGAGGAAGAAATCTTCAACTTAGAACCTCGCACTAATAAATACAATTACAAATCGTATACAGAAGACAAGAACTTTTCAATTAATATCACTATTATTTTTATTCCTTTTGGACAATATCTAATCTGTTGTTGTATGAAAAGGAAGAAGAATAAGAATCCATTCTTGTTCCAGGTATTATAATTATTGACTGGAATGGATGCTCAGAATAAGAATATTTTTTATCCGAAATTTATTTGTTTTGTTTGTTCATTTATATTACATGATCCAGTTCAATTTAATACTTGCGGACATCGACTATGTCAATCTTGTTTTGACACTCTTAAAGAGTAAGTCCCATTATTTATAATTCTTTTTTTCAAATCTTATCATTTTAAGCAATGTAATCAAATGTCCACAATGTGGCATAGAAACACAGCGAGATCAAGTAAGATATCATTGTTTTCAATAGGATAGAATATTGAATATGAACTTTTTTAGATAAGGCCTGATCGAGGTTACAAAAATGACATGCAATCTTTATCTATCGTCTGTTCTCATTGTAATTGGACTGATGTCTTCAACAATTATCAAGTAATTTCAATCAATAAACCTGATTTTTTCATTTTCTATGTTTGACTTGCAAGCAACACCTTGATCAATCTCATTTCAATCAAAAATGCAATTATTGTGATAGATAATCCCATCCAATCAATCAATCAATATACAGCATTTCAATGTTCAAAGATTTCTATCGAATGTTTATTAAAGGATTTTGGTTGCTATCAACAAGTTTATATCTTCTTTAACATAGATTTTCAATCGATTTATCACTTTGTTTTGTTTAGATTCTTCGTTGTGAATTAATAGATCATTATCAAAGCAAATAACATCAAGATTCAATACTGAATGTTATTCAACAAATGAACTCACAGCTAGGAGACGCTCAACGAACATCTAATGAAATGGATACTGATATTCTTCGAACAACTACAGTACTAGACGATGATTTTGCTCTAAATCAATTGGATGAATTCCCAGAAGCTATTAGTATGTTTGCAAATAGTATTGAAACATTGAATAAAGATGTACAATGTCTAAATACTGAATTACTTGAATATCAAAATAAACTACAACATTTAAAAGAAAATGCTTCAAATGTGAAATTAGCTATTGAAGCGGAACGCGTGTCTTACGAAGCAACGATGTGAAACCTAGAAATCCTAAATCAAGATTTGATGTCATTGAATGATAAGATTGATGATATGCAACATTTGTATGAAAAACTACAAACTTTCAAGAGACAATGAGTATGTGAAAGACTTTTCTTACGTAGTTCAAGGTGACATATGACAATAGTGTAATCATACTTCAGTGGCATCAATACATCATAAAATAAACAATACATTTACTATTATGTAAATTTGAGTGGGCTTGAACATATGAGAAGAGCCATCAATGCAAAACCATTCAACATTGTAGATGAATCATTAATGATATAGAATTATGGAAATTTACAACCTCTTTTTCTTAATTATTTGTTCGTCACTATTGATTTTGTTTGATATTTAGATGATGCTCTATCAGAACGACAACCATCAATTTATTCACCTTCATTTTATTCATCACTAACTCTATACAAAATGCGAGTTCGACTTTATTTGAATGGTGATGATAACGCTCGACGTACGCATATATCATTGTTTTTTGTTTTGATGCATGGTCGAAATGATGCAATATTAAAATTTTTCTTTAATTATAAGGTTACATTTTGTTTGTATGATCAAACATCTCAACAAAGACATATTATCGACTCTTTTCGATCAGATATTCAATTGAATAGTTTCTAGAGACCACGCTCAGAAGTGAATATTGCTAGTTATATACCTAAATTCTTTCTATTGATAATAATTCAACAAGAAGATAATCTATATATACCAGATGATACAATTTTTATTAAAATAATTGTTGACTTTGGTGATATACCGAAAATATTGTTACCATTTGTATTGAATCTTATTCCTGGATGGCCAAAAAATGTTCAACAATCCATAATTAAACAAGAAATAGACCGAAGGGCTCATCCACAAATAGTAAAGCAACAGTAAAAACAAATACATCAACAAAGCTTGAGACATGTGTTGAAGTGAGTAATACAAAGAATATTTCATTTTATTTTCTATTTCTTTTTATATTGAAACTTGCAGATTGGACCATGGTAACCTTCCTGTTTCATTTCTATGTTCGTTAAAAAATTATAAAAACAAGAAATAAAATAAAATTGAAACATATTAATTCCTTTGTATAATTAATGAATTACGCTATTGAATCTATGAATCTGTTTCATTCGATAAGTTCATGATAAAATTATTTTCAGCTGATTTGAATATACAGATCTTTAAAACAATAGAAAATGAACTTATTCATGTTCTTAATGAGAAATATCTGTAATTCTTATAGATTTAAAGAAAAAAGTTGAACAATCGTTTAAAGGTAGCTTTTACGATACTAATACGCGCAAGTATTTTTTCAGATGTCTATATTGAAGTATTAAAAAAATGTCTTCAATATTAATTTCAACGTGTGCACACTTCGATTATCTCTTTAATTATTTATCAACATCTAGAATACTAATAGAACTTCATAATAAAAGCATATAAAATTCATTGACATATTATTCATTATACATGAGTTACAGATACGCTTTGCTTGCTCATTATGTTACGATCCTATAAGGGGTGGGTGGATGAGTATTCTTAAATTTGTTCAATATGTTTCCTGTATTCACATAGATACGAGTGCTCTTTCACTAAAGACTTCATTTCAATACTATTGAAATGTTATGCTCGTGGAATACGCCCATTCATAACAAAAATCTCGACATGCTCGTCTTTGAATCATTTCTGTCTGCGAATGCATATGTTACACTTATACAAAATTTACTTTAGATTAATGAATCGAAAGCAATAAATCATTAGCTGACTTTGTATATTTACTATAGCGATTCTTAGTGATATTTCTCATAGTTGACAATAATTAGAATTGGCAATTCCTTGCTGATTGTGCTCCAAGTAAATCATCTGTAAAAGCGAAATTTTTGTTTATTGCTTTGTTTTTATATCAAAATGAAAAGCAGTTGTACTTGTCTTTTGGGTGTGGATGTGGTTGAACTGAAGATTCACACCCACACTCGCACCCACCCTTAGATGCTTATCAACCTCAAAAACTGCGATTTCTTACGTAAATACCACTGTACGATAAACCGCGATTTTACAGAAAACTTTGTTTATCAAACAACTGATGGCGACGAACCATGATTATAGTTAACTTCGTCATGGTATTTGAGTTTTTGAAAACCGCAGCATCAGATACCGCGGTGTATTAAAAACCGTCACTAAATTCAATATGGAATACTGCAATTACGATCACGGACATCGCTGTTTATAAAACCATGACTAACCACCATATGTAGTGCCATGGTTTGGTCCTAGGAAATCACAATTTGCGTTAAATGCGGTGAGAAAAACCGCAATCTCTTTAGTGACACCGCGGTTGAGGACGGTTTTATTCAATAATTTTGTTCGTGAATAACTTGGTGTACACGTGCTTCCTTGCCTGTTTCATTCCTAATCATTTGAAAATTTTCATATTGAATCGATGTTCGGCTTTTGTGTTCATTAAGTTTATTACGAAAATGGAATTGTCTTATGTATACCAATTTCATTGAGTATCAAACGTCTTTATGGACATATCCTACGTAGACTTTCAAGTGTCTACAAACTGACTAAAGAAACAATACGATGAAATATTTTCATATATTTTTTTCAAAAATGTTAAACTTTTCAGTATACTCATCATTAGAATTACATAATTATGAAATTAGTATACAAATTCATCTCACATACGCTATCATAATTAGACGTGAAAAAAAGAGATTTCAAAATGTCTTTGAACAAGCAGAAACATATTTCATATCATTAGATGTTGAAGAGATAAATCTAATTAGAATGTAAATCAGACTGGTCAACTTAACATATTTTTTCATCAGGAGTTATTTCATCTTTGACATTTTGATTTGAATCAGCTTTTGATTTTTCTAGAATACGAAAAAAACAATTCATATTCTAACAGCTTGATATAACTTACTTGTATTGCTTGTTATCGATTGTTTTTCATCTTGCTCAGCTCGTTTCTATGAAGATTTTATTTCGCACTATTAGAAGAGAAATCAAATATTATTTACTTACTCGTTTATAATTTTTCGCATATTGTAACTGTACAGGTTCATTAAATTCTTTCATTCGAATGACAGATCTTACTATAGATGGTGCGTGACGAAAAGTAAATGCGATTAAATATTGATATTGTGCTTGTTTCACAAGTGTTTTTATTAGAACAATAAAAAGGTTAGTAATAGTCGTATCTTTGTTACTACTAGAATAAACCAATGAAAAAATTTTTAAATTCTACCTTGTCTTATGTTAGAGAAAATGTGCTTAGATAACGCGGCTGATCCAAAAGCAATTTGACAAGATTAGCTTGGAATCAAAATTTTGCGGTTTTTGTGAATATGGATTCTACATTTTTGTAGGACTTTTGAGTTTAGAAGTTATGAGCAAACCTTTCAGAGGCCCATAATAGATAAATGTTGAACCTATATTCGGAAAGAATACAAAATTTCGATTCTAACTCAATGTTTTCGAATTTCTACAAGCTTCTTTAAAAGATTAAAAAAAAAGAATGAACATCTTATTAATTTACTTTTCGATCACTTGTTACAAGTGATTGAACACAAAAAAGAATTATCTTCTCTATTTATACTTACGGAGTTAAAAAACGATAAAAGTTTGGCAAAGATTGATCAATAGTAATCGAAATTCCCAATAAATTTTCAATGTCTATTATCTTATTATTCTAAATAAAAATAGAATATTTTTTCATCAAAGATCGATTATTATAAATCTAATTAGTACAAACCCCTACGCCTAATAAATATTGATTTGTATGAAATCTTAATATAGAAAGAGAATTATACAGGGATGCGGATACTATTATTTTGTCGGTATCACGCTAAATATATAAATAGAAGAAACTCATGTACTAATGACAATTAGTATATACATACATCATATCCATTTAGTTCAGGATCCTTTCGTGGGTCAGCAAAAAAACGACGATAAATTATCCAAGAAATCTCTTAATAGAAAAGTTCGTTGAAAATTAATAGCATTATTAAATATAAAAAAACAAACCTTCTAATCTTTTTTTGTCTTCTTCATGTTCTCTCTGAAGAATAAGTTGAAGTCTAGAAGGATCATCATTAGCAATTATTCCTTCCAATTCCTTGGGAACAAAGTGCCCCTTTGTTAATATTGAAATCGATGTACTTTTTGTTAACTGAATAATATTTTCATAGAATAATAAATATTATCCTTTGATTAATTCAAAACTTACTTCTTGCCAATAAGTTGGTTGAGTAAGTGCTACACATATTTCATGTGAACAATAACGAAGTGAAATCATTAGTTTTTTATCATCATCATTCCAATCGAAATAGTCACACATTTTTTTTTTAAATGAAACAGTTCTACTGCGTTGTCAATATTTATACATTCATAATAGGTGGAGAAATGAATTTTCTGCCTATTGAGAAAGATTCATTTACAAAATATATAACCGACACAATGATGAGACACAGGACTAATCTCGTCTCGTCTGGTCACAATACGGGATAGGACGTTGGATAAAAGATCGTGGAATAGACTGGACTGAATGCTTCTTCTGTCCGATCACTTTAATGGAACAACAACAGGCGAAAATAATCGTCGATGTGCCGCATCACAATAGCAATCGATTCAATGTTCAAAGAATAGAAGAAGAACAGATTACCGCGGCTGCCGATTCTGATGTAAATAAATATTGATTAAGAAAAAAAATAACAATGACGGTCAATTCTACCTGAATAAACGATGATAAAAAATGACATAATAACAGAAATCTATTCCTCCCGAAATGAAGAATGAAATATATAAGGTGTGGGTGTGAGTGTAGGTCTTCTTCTGAAATCATCCACATCCACATCCATATCCTTGCTGGAGTTCAATATTTGTGTATCTAACAAAACTCAATCTATATGTCGTATCAAAATTACATCGATCGACGAAATTGTAACTTCCTCAGCATTTTTGACGAAGTTACTTCAATCTAACTA